CAAAATATATGAACTTCATATATTTCATTGTATCTGATTTATCACTTTCACGGGTTTATTACGAATCAACTTAACGGCCTGCTCCCAGTTGGCTTGTTAGCTCAATTGGTAGAGCGCTGCACTAGTATCGCAGAGGTCAGTGGTTCGAATCCCGTACAGGCCTGATTTTTTTCAGGTCTGATTTTCGCTATTGCTTAAATAGCGCTATCTACTGCGAGGATCGTGCATCATATGTATCTAATACCGCAGTACAAAATATATGAACTTCATATATTTCATTGTATCTCATTTATCACTTTCACGGGTTTATTACGAATCAACTTAACGGCCTGCTCCCAGTTGGCTTGTTAGCTCAATTGGTAGAGCGCTGCACTAGTATCGCAGAGGTCAGTGGTTCGAATCCCGTACAGGCCTGATTTTTTTCAGGTCTGATTTTCGCTATTGCTTAAATAGCGCTATCTACTGCGAGGATCGTGCATCATACGTATCTAATACCGCAGTTCAAAATATATGAACTTCATATATTTCATTGTATCTGATTTATCACTTTCACGGGTTTATTACGAATCAACTTAACGGCCTGCTCCCAGTTGGCTTGTTAGCTCAATTGGTAGAGCGCTGCACTAGTATCGCAGAGGTCAGTGGTTCGAATCCCGTACAGGCCTGATTTTTTTCAGGTCTGATTTTCGCTATTGCTTAAATAGCGCTATCTACTGCGAGGATCGTGCATCATACGTATCTAATACCGCAGTTCAAAATATATGAACTTCATATATTTCATTGTATCTGATTTATCACTTTCACGGGTTTATTACGAATCAACTTAACGGCCTGCTCCCAGTTGGCTTGTTAGCTCAATTGGTAGAGCGCTGCACTAGTATCGCAGAGGTCAGTGGTTCGAATCCCGTACAGGCCTGATTTTTTTCAGGTCTGATTTTCGCTATTGCTTAAATAGCGCTATCTACTGCGAGGATCGTGCATCATACGTATCTAATACCGCAGTTCAAAATATATGAACTTCATATATTTCATTGTATCTGATTTATCACTTTCACGGGTTTATTACGAATCAACTTAACGGCCTGCTCCCAGTTGGCTTGTTAGCTCAATTGGTAGAGCGCTGCACTAGTATCGCAGAGGTCAGTGGTTCGAATCCCGTACAGGCCTGATTTTTTTCAGGTCTGATTTTCGCTATTGCTTAAATAGCGCTATCTACTGCGAGGATCGTGCATCATACGTATCTAATACCGCAGTTCAAAATATATGAACTTCATATATTTCATTGTATCTGATTTATCACTTTCACGGGTTTATTACGAATCAACTTAACGGCCTGCTCCCAGTTGGCTTGTTAGCTCAATTGGTAGAGCGCTGCACTAGTATCGCAGAGGTCAGTGGTTCGAATCCCGTACAGGCCTGATTTTTTTCAGGTCTGATTTTCGCTATTGCTTAAATAGCGCTATCTACTGCGAGGATCGTGCATCATACGTATCTAATACCGCAGTTCAAAATATATGAACTTCATATATTTCATTGTATCTGATTTATCACTTTCACGGGTTTATTACGAATCAACTTAACGGCCTGCTCCCAGTTGGCTTGTTAGCTCAATTGGTAGAGCGCCGCACTAGTATCGCAGAGGTCAGTGGTTCGAATCCCGTACAGGCCTGATTTTTTTCAGGTCTGATTTTCGCTATTGCTTAAATAGCGCTATCTACTGCGAGGATCGTATATCACATGTATCTAATACCGCAGTTTAAAATATATGAACTTCATATATTTCATTGTATCTGAACTATTATCATTGTTATTATTTTTATTATCATTACATACCTGAATAACCTTCTCCAAGTCACCAACATTTTCTTCAAGGCTGCAAAAATATGTGTAAGGAGGAAAAATTATTTTTTTCATTGTCCCATACACACTGAATGAAATGCCATTTGAGAACAAAAAATAGACACAAAAAGATATTTGTGAATTTTTTTTAAGGTCAACAAACAACACAGTCTCTCTGACACAATCAATTTAACAAGAATTGACAAAAAAGTAAATGGAACAATCAGCTATCACTGACCTGCTGCTCGCATTACTGTGTATATTTCTGATCACAACTTGAAAATGGTTTCCCCTGAGTGCACCCATCCTGAGAGATCTCCTCAGCCCCCTCCTGTAGCTTCCACATTCTATACCCTCTAGGGAGGGGTGATCTTGAATGGCACATATCCTTTTTGTTGAAAAGGACAATCTGAGTATTGCTGACTGTTTTAAAAGGCTATGGCAAAAACTCATAAATAGCCACGAGTCACTCAAATGTTTCCCAGTTTGCTTCTATCAGAAAACCTTGGAAATTTCAGACTAATTGACAGATTAATTAGTACTCTGATATAATTGTAGATGCTGTCTATTGTAACTAAATGTATAATGATTAATAGCCTCTCTATGACTTTTTGGAGGCCATGCAGAATTATTGTGTTGTTTCTTTAGGTTTTTTCTGCCTTTTAATTTCCATCCTCAAGAATAAAAAACATATGCAGCTTAAGGTTCAGTGCTCAAGTCCCAAGCCATTCTTGACATGCAAGAAAATTGAGTTAAAAAGACAGAGTTTAAAAAAATAATAAAACTAGTCAGAGTGACGTACTGTTCTGGTGTAACACCTCTGACCAACATGTACTGTTTGGTGATTGCTTTCTTATCCTTGATCCCTGCATAACTGAAGGCTGAAGGCTGAATATTTAGACAGCTGGACAAGCGGTGTATAGCTTCCAGTGTTTCCTTTGGAGTATGAAGAAAAATGTGGGGTACTGCTTACTAAAAACTAACTACATCCACATCCAACATCAGTATCCAATAGATATTCTTTATACTTTTCTCTATACAGAATTTGTTTAACAATCAGTTGAAGGAGTATGAGAATGACCTTCGCAGTAACAAACACTACTTAAGCAGTAGTGAAAATGAGGCCTGAAAAAACATTTCAGGCCTGTGTGGGATTCGAACCCATGACCTGTGCACCGGTATCGCAGAGGTCATGGGTTTAAATCCCGTACGGGCCTGAAATTTTTTTTTTGAGGCCTCATTTTCACTACTGCTTAAGTAGTGTTCATTACTGCGAAGATTGTCCTCATACTCGTTCTTTAACTGCACAAAACATTGATTCAATTGAAGCTTCTTCAGTTGGCAATCTTTTTCTTTATTCTCATTCTCAAGCAAACTATGACAGAGGTATTCTAGGGGAAACACAGTTGGGGAAATAATAATTATGAGTCAGAATTGCATGCAGACTACACCATTTTTTATGGCTAAGGTGCAGTTCAAAAATACTTTTTTGTGATGATCTGGGTGAACATTTGTGAGCATAAATCCTTGCTTACCATATTTCTCTTGCATAAAACAAATCCTGTGTATTCAGTCTCAGTCTGACTAAAGAGTAAAAATATTTTTGACAATTAAAACAAATAACATCAAGAAATAAGTGATTCATAAGAATGATTAACATGGAAAACTGACAATTAACACTGCTGTTTACAAGAAGTTGAAGGTTCATCTATAGATCAGTTTACCAGTACATTTAAAAGTGAAAGAATATTTCAAATCAAAGCCTCTGACTCAGTTGCTTTAAGGAAACTTTTCTCAATTAAGTTTCCCCTGTGGATTATCACCCTTGGCCAGCAAATTGATGAACAAATTGTTTGTCTACATTTCTGTCCCTGAGGCAGAGAGAGATTCCTAGACATTCAAGAGGATTTTATGACCCAAAAAGCTCTAACCTTGGGCTTGTTAATTGATAATTTTGCTGTAGTGACTTTCTTCCCTTAACTCGCATTCTAATCTGGATGTAGCTTCCTGCCTGTGCACCATTTGATGTCTTCTTTTCAGGGTCATTGAAAGTCTTGCTCTCAAGAAATGACCCAAAGTGCTTTGAAAGTAGTCTGTGAATCTGAGATAACAGGCCAGCTAGTACAGAGACAACCTATCATAATTCAACCTTTTACACCCTTACCAAGTATTCATCATTCTATATTCTCCACTCTGTTCTTGTTACATTTGTATGGTACTAGCAAGGAGAATTTGATTTACAATCAGGTGCTTCTGAAATTGGTGATTATTTCCTTCAGTTTATTTTCGTGACCTTTACATTTGATTCAAGGGTGATATTGCTTGGAGAAATTAGAAGACAGTCACTTATAGAAGTCTTAGGGCTAATGATAACTTTATTTAAATTAAACTAGCCTGCATAGCAGCCCCAGAGGGAGGGGGGAAGGGGGTGGGGAGCGGAGTCGAGAGAGGCTTAGGGAAGGGATAGGAGGACGGGTGGAGCGAGGCTTGGGGAGAGAATTTCCTCTCCCCATGTCTTTCTCCACTTGGCTCCCCATCCCCTTCCCCCCTCCCTCTGGGGCCGCTACGCAGGCTAAATTAAACGGGCTGCGTTGGAACCTCTAATCATGGTCATAATTCTGAAATTGTACAACACTGACTAATAAATTAAAAATGGATAACTTTTCACAGTTGGACAATAAATAGCATCTCAGACATTTTGGTGTGTAGCATCGCCGATTATTTTTACTGGTTAGTTGCATTTTGATTTTCCCTGAAGGCTCATAAATACACTCAGTGATACTGCACACCAAAATATCAAGTAAAATATATATCCCAGGTTTCTTTCATCATCTCTATCACACAAGCCAAGTCTGGATCAATGTTTATTTATCATCACCTTTGTTCGCTGCTGTTTATCTGCACTACTGACATTAAGATCAAAAGTGGAAGGTACCGTTCTTGTTTCCCAGTGAGCAAAACATAGCAGTCTATTGGTAAACACATAAAGTAAGCAAAGACAGGCTTTAAAATTATTGACTAGAGTTACAAGAACATTCTAACACACTAAGTGACTAATTTTTCTCCAATCATCACAATTTTCCATGACACAGGATAAAATATTTGTTGGTACTGGCCACTGTTTTACAAGTAAACCCCAATAATCTAGCTACAGCTCTACATCAGATGACTCCCACTCCTCCACTCAAAACAGTGACACAACATTGAGTCTACATACATTCTGTTGCACACTTAAAACATATCAGAGATAGATCCATATGATTTACAATTATAAGAGCAACTCTACAATAACTCACACAATGTGTTACCTGTCCACTTGCTGTCTATTATTTAGCAACTCATAAAACTCCCAATAAACTTTATCCCTGACTGCAAAGATGGAAGGAGGGTCTCCCTGATGAAAAAGCATTTATTATCAGTGCCAGTAAATAGTTGCTTCAAGGCTAAAAATTTATATTAAAATACCGTTGTCACATCTTGATGCATCCACAGGGTTGTCAAAATACAGCTACTCTGAAAAAAAGCCTACTATCTGGAATGCTTGCAGCTCAACTTTCAGCGTAGAGGAATCATATTGTACTGCAGACTTTATATCCCACTCTAGTTGATTAAAAAATATTTTGACAGCCCTGTATCCAAATTGAACTTAAGTTACCTCTTGTTCACTCTTTATAGTTACAGTCTGAAGATGGGGGTAAGCCAGCCTGACGTTTCTGTGCAGAGCTGTTCGATCCTCCTTTAACATTGTTGAGCCTATCATGAAATATGAAATTCATGAACATGGAGGTTTCCCATGAGAGAGGTTTCACTGTGCTCTATGGAGTGCAAAGTTCTTCAAATCAGGACAAAAAAAACATATAATTACAGCATAAGTCTGTCAAAAATTTTAATTCTGACCACACTTTGTTGTTAATTTGGTCTTTATCAACTGAGCTGATAAAGTGAAATATTGGCCATTATAGAGAAATTCAGAAGAAAGGAAGGGTGATGCCTAATACTTTTCATCGCTTCATCTGACCTAAGGTTTGGCACAGACTTCTATGATGAATATTATTTGAAACCTTGGCAACTTTATAAAAATTTGGGAAAAGATAACATTATTATCTATTATATATACATAATATGTATCTATTCTTACAAATACATATTCTCCTGTTGTTTTCTTTCCTTTTCTCAGCATCCAGGGAAAAATCTCTGAGCTCTGTGAACTTCTCACTTCCCAGACACTTTTCCAAATCACTCACAGCTTGTTTTTGTAAGTTGTTATATGACTCTGAAATCTAAATGAAACTGAACTTTAAAAAAGTTAATATTTAATCAATATTTCAACAGATAACTTTGTTACCAACAAAAAGTAAAGACATTAATCACTCACATACATTTAATACCACAATGGTTATACACTTACCTTGGCTAAAAACGGTGTTTCTTTATTTAGACTCTTCAATTCTAAATGAATCCCATTTTTGATTGACTCTCTGTGTTTTCCACTTCTATTAATATTCTGAAAGTTTTTGTCTTTAATTTCAGAAGAAATGTCTTGTGCAATAAGTTCTACAAGCTTCCCTTGAGAGTCAATTTCAGTGACAATAAAATCTTGGTATCTTTGCAAACGTGTCAAGGTCACTTCAGATTGCTTAACATTGCATCAAAATCATTAAAATGGCATTAAGTTACGGACTTGAAATTTCAAAATATATCTGGGTCTAGTGGCACATAAAGGGAGAGTGTCTGGGAGGTTCACAATCCTCATGCATCAGATATAAAGGTTTTCTTACAACTTGTCTGACACCAAAATTCTTAGCTTGCAAATATCTAACATGTTCCTGATTTAGAATCTAGAGTTAATAAAAATTTATGTTATCTGAATCAAAGTATGAACACTTTAAATATTTCCAACAGGGGTAACATGTCTTCTAAAAACTTGTGGGTCTGAAATTTTATGTGGGCTAGATCCTATCACCCAGCCTTGATGCACCCAGTCCGGCAAAAAGCTCTGATTCGCACGTGTTCTTTTTTGTCATTCTTCTTCCTTTTTACAAGTAGATCTTAATCATAGCGCTTTAGGATACGTTTGCTTGACTTTTCCCTTGAAACCCTCTCGATCACAATCGAGAAAACAGTCCGCACCAAAGGACATATTCCACCGATGTTCTGCACCTTCTACAGGCATCAGGTAATTATGAAGACAACTTATGTAAGTTTATATGAAGCCACAACATTTTAATGGCAAAAAAGACAGCATGTGAACATGAAACAATTTCTAGTGTAATAGAAAAATTTTTTCTATTACTTAAAAAAAAAAAAAAAGACAGAGGCCTGGTTACAAAGCCGACGAGCTGACCGTAGTTATCCGGGGCTCACAAAAATGGCCGAACTTCGCGGGATTTTATTTCGCTCCGTCTTCGTGGTTTTCATCACAGTTTGATTATTGATTTTTATCCAAGCAATGGATCTACTAGAATGCGAATGGGGCTCATGTGAAGAAAAGTTTCCACTTTCAAGTTTTCAAGACTTCAGGGAGCATTTTGAAGGACATTTAAGAGGAATTTTCCCGGGATATCGAGCAGGTTTCTCTGATGACCCCATACCGGACAATTTTGCTTGCTTTTGGAGAGACTGCGGTTGGGATTCTCCCATTGACGCCGGCGATATAATCCGTCATGTCTTCTTCCACGCCTTCCACACTAAAATAAAGCTCGAAGGGTACAAAAAACAACAAGAGATGAAGCTAACGCCTTGTACTTTAGACAATCAAAGCAGAAACCTTCTTCCCGACATTCCAGAACCGTTTCTCTGCGAGTGGAAAGAGTGCACTGTTGAGTTTAACTGTCCTACGCTTTATTACAGACATGTTGACAGTCACGCTTGGGCTGTGGATAAGATATACGCAGGAGTTGGCGAAAATGGCAGGAAAAAATACTCCGTCACTTGCCAGTGGGAGGGTAAGGCTCTTCCATCTTTAACTAGCTATAAGTATCGTGATTCTTTTTTATAAAATATACCATGAATATGTAACAGTGTGTCTACTCCAACTACTTATTAAAAGACTTTAACTCTTCTGGTGAATTCTTTTCTGAATTCTGCAGGACATAGTCAATCATAAGTTTTTGGCAAATTTTGTTGAAATCTATTTTAGGTGTATGAGGTCTAAACTTTTCATTTTCCACGGCTTTGGTACCGTAGCTTTACTGCAGCAAAATATTAAACTTTATTATTCTTTTACTTGCACCATTTTACCAGACTAGGGCTACAGAATGCACAAAATATGCTAGGGTAGTATATTACACAGTAGAACAGGAAAAAAACATTGAAAATCGATCTTTTATCTCATCTCTAAGTAGTTTTCTTTCTTTTACAAGGATGTAATTTTACAACTGTGAACCACTACAAGCTTAAAGAACATTGCAGAAGTCACACTAGAGAGAAGATTTTTGCCTGCATGACATGTGGTGGCATGTTTGCAAATAAGACAAAACTTGTAGACCACATGGTTCGACAGAATTCTTCAGGATGTGAGTAAATTTTTCTGTCATGATAGCAGTTCTTGATTTTACTCAAGTTTTCATTTTTGTAATATTTTTCTTTTGATTTGTTTTGTTGCAGTTGAAAGTTTTCAATGTTCACATTGTCTAAAGCACTGTGGCTCAGAGCGCATCTTGCGAGATCATATGAGACATCATGGTACATAACATTTTTCCTTTCTTTGAGGTTGTTGAATTGTCACATATGCCCATGAAGAGAAACATTATAAATATTCCAATTAAAGTCTTCTTGTTAACACCGGCACTTAAGCCTCACTTTCAGAAAAGCTGCACCTCAAGTTTGGCAGCTCAAAATTTGGAAAAGAAAGTGGAAGAAATCATAAGTGGAATTTTGTGAAAGTTGCTTTATTTTGGTTGCTTCATCAAGCATATATGTACACAGAAAATAAATTCTTACCGATAATTTTAGCAGCTGTAGAGCAGGCATCCAGTAGAGTTTTACATAAGGAAGAAGGAAATCTAAGTTCATTTAATGGATCGTTCAGGTGTTCTCACAAATAAGCTGCACCCCTGATGTGCTTAAAAAAATTGGGGGGAAAGGTGCAGCTTATAGGCTGGTGTTTAAGGTGATTCAGGCAGAATTCATACAGATAAATGATTATTTGATTCAAAAGCTTCTTAGTACTATTGACAGTATCATTCCAAGAATGTTGTGGACTTATGTCTCTTCCTTTCCAAACATGTCAACAAAACTACAGTTACTGTGATTGCAAAGAAATAGAATCAGCATGCATAAGTATATTTAATTGTTTATTTAATTTTATTTGCAGTCAATAATGTTAAGTGTCAGTTCTGTGACATGACTTGTCCAAATGCCTCAGCCCTCAAACAACACGTCAAATTCAGACATTCAGAGGAAAGACCATTTAAATGTGATGTATGCAGTTACACGTGAGTGCACTGTCCAACAGACAGAGTAACATGAAGTAAACTCCCAAGATCTGATTAATAAATTTCCTCTCTAGCTGCTAGACATTTCCTTGTAAATTAGTTATAAGAATTTGGTGTTAGATCAAGATGACAACTTCTACCTGATAAGTGAAGGTGTAGTCTGATCGTCTGGGTGAGTGTAGTCCTCAGAAGGACTGTTGTCGGTGGTAGTGACTGACGTTTCGACAACCTGTGCGGAAGTCATCATCAGAGTCAAGTGATACCTGATAAGTGATACCTGTCAAGTTCTACCTGATAAGTTTGAGTGTTAATTCTCATTACCTGTTTGCTGGATAATGTAAGGATATTATAGGGAAAAGATCCATGTTAATCACTTTTGGAAATTAAAGGAGTAAATTAAAAAAATTCCCAGCATTGGTGGATCTTAAATAGCTGTGATTGGTACATTTAGATATGCTGAAAACCAACCAATCAAAGTGGGGCATAGTGCTTCATAAGGTGTTAGAAACATTGGGGTTTATAACAGATGTGAGACTTGCAAAAGTACTACGCTATTAATTTAATGATACACTTGTGCTCATCTTATGATTCAGAGAATTGCATGATATACAGTTTGTGCTTGAAAAATTTCTGCAGCGAGATTTATATAACAAGACTAATTAATAGCTGTGAGGGAAACCTGCAGAAATCAGGCCATGTGTGAAAAATGACTTTTTTTTTTCATTTTAGCTGTAAAATGCAGTCAGACCTGAGGCGTCACCGTGAATTCCACAATGCTGTTTTAGCACATCATTGTGATTTTGAAGGCTGTAATTTTTCTGCCCGTGCCATGCAAACAGTGAAAAGGCATCAGAAAGTTGATCACCAGGTGGGGTCGTTGTCAAATATTACTAACAGGTATCAGTGAATTGCTAGATGTTTTGTTTTCTTTCTTTCATCTGTTGAAATTCAACTTGAACATCACGAAACTCAACTCGAGCCTCGATCCTAAAAGTTTTCAAGAAGCAAGGGACTGTCAACTTAGTTTTGAGGGGTACTGTATTTGTATTATTATTGTTATACTTTTCTGTTCATATGAATTTATTTATATCTACAATGTATATGTCCAGGGAATTGATTTGTACCGATATGAATGTCATGTCTGTGGGCAGCGATACACTAGAGGATCTGGGCTGACCAACCATCTAAAGAAAAAACACAGGTTTAGCTGGCCAGCTGGGCATCCAAGGTTCAGGTGAGGTCACTGTAGGTTATTTTGTTGATAATAATAACAATAATAGTAGTTAATGACAATAATGATGATGAGAGGAGATAAATCTATTCCTAAACTTTAAGTAGGTTAGTAAAGGCTTTAGTCAATGCAAAGTCATCAACACCACATAAAACAATTCATCAGTGGATTTCATTTCATGCTTCATGTATTATTTGTTCTCTCAACATTACTTAATATGTACCAGTAGCGTGCAGTCTGATTGTAATTTTGAGTTACCAAGTTTGGGACTTCTTCATAAAAGGTTTTATCACCACCTTGAATTTTGTGAAGGAGAGGAGGGTATGGGCAAGAAAAATATTTCTACCAAGGGATGTGATCGATGAAGAAAGCTGGGGGAAGGAAGCAAGGGAAGAGATAAACCTTTCTTCACCCCCCCCCCTCTCCACCCACTTGTACCCCAACTCAAACTTGGCAGCTTGATCAACCATTCCAAGCTTGTAAACCCTGTACATCCAACAGCAGTGTCCATAGACTCCATACTCTTCTTTATACATTTCCCTTGGTACTGGTAAGGAGAATTCATTTATCAATCAAAGCTTCTTAGGCTGGCGATCATTTCTGTCATTCTCATGATCTTAATGAAACATTCAGAACTATTACTGAAAGGAGAAATTGGATGTTGGTCACTCTCAGGTTGTAAAAGGTGAAGGGTTGTTGTGTGGGCTGTTAAGGCCTCACCCCCCCCCCCCCCAAAAAAAGAAAGGACAGTGGGCTGTAACACCCAAAAAACAAAAGAAAGGACAATGGGCTGTTAAGGCCAAAAGAAAAGAAAGGATAGTGGGCTGTTAAGCCCCCCCCCCAAAAAAAATAAAAAGAGAGAGTGGTCTGTTACCTCTCTTTAAAATGTAATATTAAATAGATGATGGTTCCATGGTTATTCTTTAATGTCATGATATCAAACAGAATTTCAGTGAAGTGCTGCCATGTAAGTTTGGTCAGAATTGTCACTCCGTGAGGCTTCATCATGTGATGGCAATGAAAAAGTTTGTAACTTTTACAGTTATTGGTCAAACAGAAGTGTATTCTGTTTTTAATGGTGAAATTCCTGTCTGTTTGCTTTAGATACAAAGAGTGTGATGATGGCATTTGTCGACTTCAAACCGTGCGCTTTGAGAGTCTCCATTTGTCGCAGCTGATGAATGAACAGGAAGGTGCAGGGAACACGGATATGCAAGCAGGTGACTTCCCCCAGGATTGTGTAGACTCTCCTACAACCTCAGGGGGGTCACCAGAATCGACTGTTGAGGGGTCACCCCTTAATAAAGGGGATAACCTTGGAGAACTCAATTACCAAGAACTCCTGCAAGAATGGAATAAAAATAACAGTAGTACACAAGAGGAGGGACATAAGGGTGGAGGACCAATAAGGAGTGCTCAGACAGGAAGAGTCACAGAAGTGCATCCCTATGAGAGACCAGAATCACCTGAACTAGATTTACCACAGACCTTGCTAGATCTTCAAGATGCTGCAATCAGGCTTGCCAATGGACAAAATGGGATCAATTGATCACATTATTGATCAGTTGTAAATTTATGATTGAATTAAATGATTGAATAATGAACAACCATTCACCAAGTGGAGGAAGGTGGTAGTGGATGTCAATGCAGCTGCAAAGCAGTGAGTTAAATAATTATCTACCTCTACCCACCAACACTAAAGTGAATGGTTGTTTTAGTATGCACTGAAACAATGAGATGATATGGCACAAAAAGATTATTTGAACTCATTCATTCCTGTAACGATTACAATATAATATTATTCAGGTGCAAATCTTGTGCTAGTTGCTGGGAGGGGAATAGTAGAGGATATTTGGAATTTGAGTAGCCAATCAGAGCACACCTGCAATGCTGTCCACTGTTTTTAGTAATGATCATCAAGTCTTACCCTTCGAAGAGTTCTTCAATGCACCTTGATGGTTACAACTGGGAAACTTAGAAAAACTTATAGCACCACTTGAAATTACGACTCAGTAGCTTTTGTTTAGGTGCCACTCTCAAGTCTTTCATTCACAGACTAGTTAGAATTAACGTGTACAACATTACAAACAGTACGACATGGAAGGACCTTTCATGCATTTATTTGCATGATCAAACGTGAGAAAGTTGGTATCACACCATACATTGTAAGAAGGTGTTACAAACTTTTTTGAAGCCACAGCTTTTTACATAGTACCACATGGAGGTGCTTATTTCATTCGTACACTTAAAAGTTCAACTATCCTTAGTCTGCTTAAACACGCAAGACTAAGTGTAAATGTTGTGCAGTAGATTTGATATCAAATGTCACTTGTTTACTGTTGCCCCACCAACTTAAGATTGAAGCCTCCTCTTGTAGCACAGTTAACAACCATGATTCTCTCTTTAATTGAAAGTTACACGCTAGTATTTGTTTCGTTTTGTAGTAGTTTAACATAAGCTCGTAGAAAAAAAATGCCAATTATCATTATTTATCTGAAAGCATTTCTAAATTCATGGAGAAGGCCGACGAATACCATCTTGCGACTCGGATCGTTTGGGAACTTCTCAATTTTTTTACAGAGTGTGTTTTGACGTAATTTTATGACGGAAAAATTTTACGTAGTTAATATTATAAATATGTATGATAATAAAGGTGTTATTATATTTCTGTTTTTAATCTGTACTGGTGAAACCAGTTTGATTGGTTGCCTTTGGAATAGCAACAACTGCGCCTCTTGGACCACTTTTCTAGTACTGAACAGAGCCACGGCAACACGGATTCGATTCGGTTTAGATGTAGAATAAGCAAAATTTGTTGATGGTGGCGTCATCTATATGGCTGTCTTCTAATAGGTCATATTTGAGACCCTACATATTGACTGCGTATATAATTTTAACCATCAGTCTGTCAAAGGTTTTTGCTCGCGCGAAATTAGTTTAAGCGTATCATGTGACCGATTATGCCCCAACTAAAACTGGGGAATATCCGGTGATAAATCCCAAATTATATTTCCCAATTTTCCAAAGTTACGTCCACTACGATAAGCATTTCGTTCAAATTTAATTTTTTGGTCCGGACAAGTACTCATTATACGCCATTACGTCATGAATATCTTATCAAATTCTCCCCCTCCACACCATTAGATATTAATGTCCCATTTGGGACACAGGTTTACCAAGAACTTATTACGAAGTTTCATGCGGTCTATCATTTTGGATATATTGGTTGTATCAGTATCATTATATAATTATTATTATTATTATTAATTTTATCATTTTAGGGAATAAGCTCGGGATTTTTAAAAATGGACCAATTTTGATATTAACAAAGATTTAGTAATACATAGACAGGTAAAAACGAACGATATAAAATCGTATTTGTGTAGCTACCTCCCCTATGCAAATTAATTGTAACTCTTGAACTCGCATTTGTTAATTTTATTTTCATTTGTACCCTTGATAATGGCGTCATGAAGTCGCCGAAACGTCGGGATTTTATATCGTTCGTTTTTACCTGTCTAAAAATTTTGATATTTTAAATAAATTTTTAGAATAAATTATTTTCATTATTAATTCTAAGTTTAGAGATTCATAGTGGCATGTTTCACCAAACCATGTGTGGTGTCTTCTAGGCCTGGAGTTGGGAAGGGTGGACGAGTATTTTATCAAGTTCTAAATGAGCAAATTCAATGATCGGGAAATCCACCAAAATTAATCTGAACTATTCGTTTAAGGACAGGTAAGCTTTAGTAAAGTTAAATCTGTTTCATTTGCATTCTGACATGCCAGATAGCAAGTTCAACTGAAAATACCATTTTGCTTGTGCTTCCATCATTCGTGGAGTTTCTTTTCAAATATCGTAGGTTTCTCTCCAGGAGCGAGTTCGCATCGCTGCAAGAACCGAAGGCACTGAATTTTGCCTTTTAATTTTCGTTACACTCTGACAAGCACTTGTCTCTACGACGGCTCTACTGTCGATCAAAGAGTTTGATCTCCCCACTTTGTGGAGCTGACTTTTTATCATCGTCGCTATCCTTAAATAACCTCGAGATCTCCCCCTCGGCCGGTTCACCGGGTGCCATGTCCAACTGCACAGAGAAGGTAAGTGCGCCAGGTTGTTGTACCGGTCACATGAATTCCCACGGTTTGTCCTCGTCGCACATGACTGTGACCTTTGGGGGCACAGGACACGTTTGATGTCCACACGACTTCGAAAGTTTAAGAAAGCAACGGGAGCTTGGTGTCGCTTAGAATAAAGATCAAACCTCATGCAAGCCATTGGCTCGGCTTCCCGAGGAGTGCCAAATCTCAGAAGCCTCAGTGCGGCTTTCCTATAGCGTTTGTTTCTATAAAAATTAAGCGCAGGGTTCGCTAGAGAGTTAAACTGAAGGAAAATTTTCCCCCAGTGGTGGACCGAATTCGCACGAAAAAAAGGCACAAATGTTGCCAGAATGAGGAAACACATTAAAGGAACTGCGGACGTGATGAAGGTAACCATTATCAGAACGGCAGTAAAAGCAATTCTCGTTTCAGTTCTTGCTTTGATTGAAGAACTCACGCGCCCGATTTGGCTTATTTTCCGATTACGTAATACAATATAGGCTGTGTGTTAAAAAAATATGCCATCAGAGACATGCCTATAAACCAGACAAATACTAAGATGACATCTAGAGTCAGGAGAATCTCATTACCAACGCCCGCGGCTGATAAAGCGGGATGCAAGGCGTTCGTTACAACGGATGTTATCCTTTCGAATCTGTAAGCGTTCTTTTGTAAACAAGATTTTGTAATCCGTGCATTTTACTATGGCTACGTACCTCTCCCAAGCTATTAAAACTCAATGATAAAACGAAACATTGTAAGCAGTGTACATAACCGAGCCAGTGATATCACTAAACCTACAGGCGATGTTTTCTGATGCAGTTCCTCGAACGATCAGTGAATCCAAAGTGATTGTCAGTGGCATAGAAACCGCACCCACTAACAGATCAACCAAAGCCAAACTAGCGATCAGAATGTTAGAATTTCTCTGTAACTCTCTGAATTTCTTGACTGCTAAGATCACTAAGATGTTCGAAAGAATGATTAATGGAGAAGCAGCAGTGTGACAGCGATCGCAACCTGACAGTAATCATCGTTCTTGAAGTCGCAGGTGAGCTCCGGAGTGTTGGGACAAGAGAACAGTGTTCTGGTTGAATTATCTGGCGAAGCTTCAGAGGGAATCTCGGTGTTAGAGGACATCTAATTCATGGCCCAAAGCATTATAACCGTAAATGATTTGTGTTTCGTGTCGAATGCCAGCCAAGTAAACTTTTCTTTCTCAGGTAAAGGTTTTTCTTTGGACAGAATATGACAACGAAATTCGCAGATGGCAGTGGAGAAATTTTCTGATAAAATGTTTTGTATACAGTATTTGAAAGAATCAGCCCCTTTCTTTAATTTGCAGACTCGTTAACACTCTAAAATATAGATTAGATTGTATTTAGCGTCCGTTTTTCTTTCTTCAGGCTTTTATTTAACCTTCGGGAAATTTACCGAATTTCTCATTCTTGTTTTAAAGCTACGAAATTAGAAAATATAACTAATTTAGTCAAGTTGGTAGACTCAGCCAAAAGAGCTTGAGAAATGTTTGTACAATTTGTACGATTTAGCTGAACGGAATTAAGAGATTTAAAAACCTCTCATGACAAGAAAGACGTGTTTTTATCTTCCACTTTTTTCGTGGCTTGTTTCCTTTTTTCGTCGTCTATGTATATTAATGCAGTTGATGAATTTCATAGGAAAAAGTGTGGGAGAATCTTCATTACGAGATCCAAAATCTATTCTAAGCCTGCGTGACATATCCATGATCTCCAGCCGAAAAAATACAGCTGAGGTTTCGCTAACTCGAAAAGAAATGTTTTCGTTAAGCCGGCAGGAGTTTGATACTATAGCAAAACAATTTTACATTCTATGACCAATTCAACTGATAACGACTGAAAATTAAAGTTTTAACACATTCAACGTCTTTCAGACAAAGATAACCCACGCAGAAACAGTTTATCGTACAGTAAAATTTTAAAAGCTTTTAAAGGAGCTAAAGCGGAGGACTGTTTATTTCGGGAAAACACCGGTTCTGCGAAACAGATATGAGTCATCATTTAAACGACTTGTTCAAGGTAAAACTTCCCTCAACATCTCGCGTACGTCACGGGTGTATTTTGATCTGAGCTCACAATTAATAGGAGCGTTTCAATCATGCTCGCTTATTCATTTTTCTAGGCCATATTGTCACAGTTTAGAAAATCACATTAATTTTCGATTTTAATTTTCAATTCTGAATTAATTTTTTTTCAGACCACTTTAATTCACATGCCTTGTCATATTCCGTTGAAATCCGATAACAAAAGCTTGTTAAACAAGCGAGAAAAATTCTGCGATTTAGTTTTCTCAAATCTTGATTCTGAGTAAAATTTAGAATGAGATCGACTTCATGTTTTTTTTTTTCGCTCCAATGATAAGTGGCTCAATTGTCAACATTTTAATAGAGTTTTTTTTAGGAAAAAAGGAGATTAACATAGATTTACCATGCACTGTGCTTGTCATATAATTTTTACTTAAGATTTAAACTTCTCGATGAGGTTGTTTTGCGTTTTTTCGCGAGTTGAAGCACGTTTGAGGTTTAAATAGCACAAGAGACGCGCAGGTGTTGCTCTTAGCGTAGCCGAGAGCAACTTAGCTACTTGTACTTATTTACATAACATTCGAAAAGTATTAAGAATGTAAAGTAACATAACAAGTTACATAACCTGTTACGTAACACAAAATAGGAATGATAGGACACCAGAGGCAGCCCAGTTCTTGTATGATTTACGTTTTCAGACCTTTGAGATAATAGGGCGAACAAATTTGCTCTGTGCAGTGTCGGAAAAAAATAAAACAGATATGGTTGCGATTTGATTGCCTTGCGTAAGTTTGAAGTCTTTGTATTCCTTGGGTCGGTTAAAAATCATTTCTGTGACCTCAACTCTCGAGTGAGGTTTCGCCAGATGGTAAGAACCGGCGATTATCTATTGCAGGGGGGAGGGGTGGTAGGATTTTAGCTGTGTCACAGTAAAATTTACCTGATCCCTCCTACGGCTCTGTTGTATTTCAACGATCCCTCCTCATTGGTCGGCAATTTTCTAAAGGCCCCCCCTGAAAAACCATGTTATCCCCCTCAAAATCTTCCGCCCCCCCCCCCGATAAGTAGTGTTCCTTCCCTGTAGTATGATAATTTAACTGTAGATTATAAAATCCCAGTAATCACTCTTGATAACTCTTATTTAATGACAGCTCGTCAGGATTTGGTTTTATTAATATACTTGACATATCTACTGATCCGCAAAAGCTAAAATATTTGGCATTAGAAGCCCCTCTTAACGAGAAAGGCCGCGTTAAGTGAGCACGCTACTGAAGGCGATTTGTAATGTTTGGGAACTTCTCTTTTTTCGTTGGGAGAAAGACAAACTTCGAAATTTGTTTGAGTGCTCTATATGAAAACCAACTACTTTCAGCCAAGATATATAATCTTTTTATTCAATTTCGTTGACGTTTTTTCTAGGTGATTTTTCTATTTTCACTGTTCTATGAAACTTGCATACAGTCAGGTTCAACAGCTCCGTCGAAGCAAAGAGCTGTAATCACAGAGAAATCCTGTTTAGGAAATCTGTTCACAGATTTGATGGCTTCACCTCTCAAACTTTAACGACCTGACGTGTAACAGACATCAACCTCTTCCCCCGCCCACCCC